AATTTTTATGTTTTAGACAGCAGATGGGAAGATCAAAGGTCCTGGACTGAATGGTAGCAAGCATTAACCGAATTCAGTCTCCTCTTAACACATGACAGTATTAAAGGAACTTACTCTTTTGGGCCTCTTGGTAAAGCTGTCATCAGAACATGGAATATCTATGCTAATTAGCCTAACAGAGTGTGTTTCTTTTATATCCTGTTTACCTGAAGATGGAAATAGAACTGGTTTCTAAAACCTAGTGATTTTAATGAACTTCAGTTATGGACAAACTCCACAAGAACTGCAGAACAATTACAAATGTAAGCAGTTTTGTTCCTTTTTATCTCTGATACCTGCCAGGTTTCTCCTGCTGACATGATATAGCTTTACAGGATTTGAAATTCTCACATTAGTGGTTATGAAGAGTTTTTTCTTCTGGAATTTAATACCTTGTAGACCATTGAAAGTCAAGTGGCATTTCAGAGAAACGTGCCTTTTCTCTCTTCAGGTCAGTGAATAAGCCAGGCAAGTAACTGGCATGTGCAGTTTCGTGGCAGTTTCTTGCTTGTCTTATTCGTTACCCTGAAGGTGGAGGTGACATGTTCCTCCGAAACTTCCGTTGACTTAGATCAGATTACAAGGCATTATATCCAAGAAGATAGAGCTACTCATTTTTAATGGTTTTTGCAAATTCCACAATTCGTTCATTTTATCCTATGGAAATAAACATTTTAGACTTCTGCAGCCACTGTGTCTTGACTATCTGCTATGGTCCAAACCACTGTTCTGTCAGCAAGGGTCTATAATATTCTTGATGAACAAAATAATGGGCAGACACTTTGGAATTATTATATTTCCTTTTAGGATATGTGATATACATAAGTTTGAGGAACATTTTTGATTAGATTTAGTCTCTAGAACTCCGATGTACTTTGTACCACAAGGTCCTTTGATATTAGCCTAATTATCAAAATCACAAATGGTATATGTGTTTTATACATGTCTCTTTGCTTTTAGGCTCACTTACTGTGATTTCACCAATTTACCTCCATTCTGTTTCTCTGTTGGTAGAGTCTGTGGCTTAAATGAGCCTGTAGAACAAATTCATGANTATTTTAATGTGTGAACATGGCATGCAATGAACTGGTTTGACGTGGATAAGTAAGCACCTGAAGATGGCATTATTATGCCGAAACATGTAGTGCGAAGGAGAGAAGGAGATAAATGAGTGTATGCACTGCAAGACGGATTAAATAAATCATGGATTCATGATGTCTATTGAGTGCACCTTTAAGTTCTATCACACTTGAAGTATGCATATTTCCTGATAACTTGATGGTAGCCCAGAATGTGTTGGACTATGCTAACTTCCATATTGAGGTGTCCAATGAAAGGTTTAGATGAAGTGTCATCATTTCAAACCATGTCATATCAGTAATGCAGTCAAAATAAATTGAACCTAAAAGGAATGGGTGCTCACATCCTGCCCTTAGGTGGCCAAGCAGGCGTTACAAGAGATGGTGATCCTGCCGTCGTTGCGCCCAGAACTGTTCACGGGCCTGCGCACTCCGTCCCGGGGATTGCTGCTCTTTGGACCACCTGGCAATGGCAAGACATTGTTAGCACGTGCTGTCGCCACTGAATGCAGTGCTACATTCTTTAGCATCAGTGCTGCCAGTCTGACATCGAAGTATGTTGGTGAGGGTGAGAAGCTAGTCAGGGCCCTGTTCTCTGTTGCCAGGGAGTTGCAGGTGAGTCATATGTTCCCCTTTTAACACAGTAGAGCTTAAAAATGTTAACAATTTGTTCTTGAATTCCAGGAATATAATTCCAGTATGAAAGATTCAGGTATTTTCGTGGGGCTTGGCATGTTTTGGCAAACACAGTAATGAACCTTTCCACAAAAAAATGTGGAATTTCTTGAGTAGCTGAGGAACTAATAGCTTCTCAAGAAGAACTGTGCTCCATGGAATTAATTCAGTGGGCCTTTGAGTGCCTGTCTGCCTTCGTGCAGCCCCTTCAGTGCTGTATAGTCACACCTGTGCCACCAGTTGGTTTCACCCCTTGTGGGTATTAATTTTGATACTTTGCTGCTGTCACCACCACATGGACACTATGTTGATTCTTACCCTTGAGCACCTTTTACTTGTAATAATGATGTTAAATAAATCTATCCATGAATCCAGAGAACTCACTAATTTGTTGCATTACCAGGATACATGACAATATTATCACTAGACCTTCATTGCTATGTTAACCTGAAATTGCATAATGACATTAATGAATATTTTACTTATGAAACTTGTATATAAATCAAGATTTGTAGTTAAATTTTCATTTTCATATCCTATCCAGTCCTCCTTTCTCTCTGATGATGTAATCTTGATGATAAAGTCAGAATATAAAATTGTCCATGAAGGAAGCATACATGGGTTTGCGAGGAGCAGGATGTCAATTGTGTCTCCATCTGAACGGGTTGCTCACCTGCTTACACTCCTGACCTACACTTGAGAGACATCAAGTCCAGATCTTCGCTAATGCATCAACTGTCATCTGTGGGCATTTTTATGATTTTCCTGAGTCATGTCAGGCAGATTTCATTGTAGTACTTGAAATTAAACACCAGTCCCCATTCTCTTCAGTTTTCCAAGCATAATTCCCTCATATCATTAGATATTAAATAATGCCCTAACCAGACCTGTTCTTTTGCAAAGTCAGAACAGTGAGATGCATACCAGGTCCTGACCATGATTCAGGTGCCATGTCAGGCTCATGGTTTGTAACCGTCCAAACCTTTTAATATTCTTTAATGGACGCATGTTCCTTTTCAGCCATTTCAATAGAGTGACTGATTTATAAAGGTGACCCATCCATTAAGAAGTTGACATGCTTTTCGCATTTAGACAGGAACAACTTATTTTGTTACCTGGACCTTGGGTGACCGTTAGAGGGTCGAGGCAATTATGAAAAGGATATGTTTGTTGTCTGCCCTAAACTAAGACATAAGTGCTTTCACATGTAGGGTCCCGGGTTCAATATCTCTGGATCTCTTCATTCTAAAAGCTATTAATGTGATTGTCTTGTACTGATGGTATCATGAATTGGCAGTTAAAATCAGCCATTAGAAACTATTCTTGTCTGGGAGAAAGGCCGTCGGTTCAAATCCTATACGGTGATGAAGTGACGCTCCCGCAGAATAGAAGCAGAGGCACTTGGCGTTCAGAATTCATCAGAGACAGACGTATCGGACTTGGCACTTAGAATTCACCAGAGGCAGACGTCATTTACCTGCTCTCTCCAAGTTTATCTAAATTTAACAGTATTTATTTGGCTCGATTAATCTTTGGCACATTACTCCCTACTCGCCGATAAAGTTATAGTTTGATTCTGAAATAAACAATATTGTGATTAAGCAGAAAATAGAGTATTTATTTGTATCAGTGGACTAGTTTTAAATGTGCAGTCTCCGCGTTGCCCCAGTTATTACCGTGGCACAACCCTGAGAAGAGTCAAAAGTGTTCTACCGAAGCGGGCAAACAAATAAATAAACATAAAGATAAATAGGCAACGGTCACGAGAAGTGGTGAACAGCGGTTGTAAGAAGTGACGGCCGTGTGCGGTTGTAGGTTCCCACTGCTTTATCTCAGAAACTGTATGGAATAGTACACATATACACTATTTTGCTTAGAATGACTAATACTGTGACCGCTGAGAATATTAACCTTTCCTTGTAAGATTTGAGGCTTTCCTTGTTGGACATCCTGTATTTTTTAATCTTAAATGTTCAGCTAGAACACAGGAAAAGTCTGTACTTAACTGAGTGGAATGTCCCCCAAATTTAATCTACTCTCAATTTCTTCATATCCTTTTAATACTGCAGCAAGCAGCCTCTGTACTCTAGGGGTAACGTTCCCACCTCATGATTCAAGGTATGCGGGTTCAAACCCGGCGTAGGTTGTGGAATTTTTAAGGGCGGAAAAATTCAGGGAACAAGTCCTCTGGGAGGGGCTTTAAGCCGTGGGTCCCGTGTCATAGATTTACGGCACGTAAAAGAACCTCATGCCTCTAGGAGGCCTCTGAGCTAAATTAGGCCAAAAAGTTTCCTGCCCAAATAGTTTCCAATGCCTCCGATAGATGGGGAAGTATTAGGTACCACTGACAGAAAGGGACTAATTATTAGATACCACTGCCAAGTAGAGGGTAGAAACCTTGCTGGCAGAAAGGGGCTAAAGTATTAGGTACCACTGCCAGAGGAGGGACTAACTGTTAGATACCACTGCCAAGTAGAGGGTAGAAACCTCGCCGGCAGAAAGGGGCTGATAGCGAGCACCAGTATCGGTAGGGGATGGAGACGGTAGAAATTAAAAGGTGGATGTACAATAGACTATCAGTCACGGTGCATGGGGAAACCCACCCCCTCAATACTGAATCACTGAATACTGCAGCAGAGTTGTGTTGATGTCAGTTTCTTAACTGAGTCTCCAAGAACTGCCTAATGATATATTCAGCCTCATGTACGTTGCTGTAACTGCTGTCTCCGGTTTGGTCTTACTGACCTGCCTCATGCTGCCCATTGTGTCAGTATGAAGGTGTCCCTTTATGAAGTGGGAGCACCTGTAAGGTTGTTTTGCTGCAACTGATAATTTGGTGACTAGGATGTAGGCCAGCACAGAGAAACTGGCAGTGTAATTGGGGCCCAGTATGTCCCATGGTGTCAGTGTCCTGCCTTTGTCACAAATGATTGGTGGAAAGGGCATGCAGAGAAATGGACATTCAATTTAGCCAGTCATGAACTGAGGTTTTTGGCACAAACCTCTAGATTTCCATGTGTTGTGTGAGTTGCGTAGGACATGAGATTGTCAAAGATTCACTGGGTAACATAATGAAACTACGACAATTACTGTAAATGTTGACAAAGTTGCAGTTCATTATATTGAATGTAAAAATTGAATAAAATTTGCCATAAATACATTTAATGATTTGACAGTAACCGTAGTTATTTGTTGCCTGTCACAGAATATTGAAATAAGAAAGTAATGGACAGTTCACACTTACCTGACAGTTGTTGATTACAGCCGTCCATCATCTTCATTGATGAAGTAGACTCACTTTTGTCTGAGCGGCGAGAGGGTGAGCACGAGGCAAGCCGGCGCTTGAAGACTGAGTTCCTGGTGGAGTTTGATGGCCTCCCATCAAACCCTGAGGAGAGGGTTCTGGTCATGGCTGCAACAAATCGCCCCCAAGAATTGGATGAAGCGGCTCTCAGGTGAGTGCGAACTGCTCAGATAGATGACCAAGGTTAAATTTTTGACAGGCTCGAAGGTTGTTCTCTTTGCTAACCACCAACTACAAATGCACACTCAGTTATTGATTCATGACTGACTTTTCCTGCTTGTCTTCGTTATGTTACCTTAGTATGGACAACACAGAAAACATCATTTTGCACAGTTCTTCAATAGCTGTGTGCATATCCATTGTTGCTGGAGCAAGTTTACTGAGCCGTTACCTAGCAATGGACATCATCTGTGGCTCTGCTGTTCTGCCTGTCTGGAATCATGTCACAATACCTTTGCTGTTTGCATTCTGTGTCAGTTCTTGTTGAAGGTCACATGGAGAAACAATAGATGGCAAGTGCTACACAAACCATCTGTGAGTTAAAACAAACATTAAAATCATTAAAATCACTCCACACATGAGACCTAGCACCTATGTTGATGCACAGTTTCATGGCTATTGTTAACCTTTAAATGCCAGACTTTTGAAATGGTGGTAGCTTGAGCTGGCCGGAGTTTATTTAAGTGTTCGCTGCTGGTGCGCGTTTAAATGTCCGTTCCTATTAGGGCGCTTAAACAATTTAAAGCATTGTATGCTGTATCTGATACAATTTTTATGATAAATGGATGGAATTAATTTGTTTGTATCAGAAAAGAACATAGTTGCATATTATAACGGAAGGTTTGCAAATTTTTATACAAAGAGTTATACTCTATTTTCAATTTGTTTCTTTTAATTTTGATGCGTACTGTAAAAATGGTTTCCCAGTTCTTCACAGAGTTGTTCTGCATTATAAAATCAGTCCTGCTTTTAACACTTGACATATTTTAGCAGTCCCTGGTCTCATAAAACAGATGGAAGCAATAAAATCGTTTGGTCTTCTGCTGGCAAGTTTAAAATCTTTGTTACACTCTTCAGATTTTTTAATCTTTTAGCTAAAGGACAGAAGAATGAAAGCATTGCTATTCGAGAAAAAGCTAGAGGGTTCCCTTCTTCAGTGCTAATAAGACCTTCCGTTGTAGCTGCAAGAGATTATTTCCCTTCCTATCATCGTGAACAGACAGTAGCATCGTGACTGAGATACAGACTGTGATCTGTTTTCTGTGCGTTCATAGTGAAATTGAAAACTGTAGTTTCATTTCAGCCTATATATACATCAAGCAGATGACAACAAAAAAGGTATGTACATTGAATTTTACTATATATTTTTAACATATTAATCAGCAAAATCTGCAATAAAAGTACTGTCTCGTGGATGAGTTTGGGCATAACTCATATGTATACTCTTTTCTGTTGTTGTTCACTTAGGTATCATTTTAAGTCCTCTGTTAGGGTTATACTCAAGTCTGGCTGGTAATTATTACATTTAAAAATAAATATTTAGGACTGTGCATGTGCGTGCACTTCCACTGGTGGAGTTTAAATGTCCGATTGGCCAAATCGGGGTATTTTGGCCACAATAAGCATACTCATCACTGGCCCGATCAGGGCACTTCAGATGTTAAAGGTTAAAAGCTGAGTACTGTCAGAGATTCTTTGTATGGTACCAACATGACACAATTTTCATGCATAATCTGCACTGGATGGAGTTGTAGTTTTAGGACTTCTGCTTTGATAATAGAAGTCCAGATGGGAGAAATTGGCAAGCTGGGTTGACTGATCAGATGGGCTATCACAGACATGTGGGGAGATTCCTTGTATTTTTTGTATCTGGTGTTTAGCTCAATCTGCAAGACCTTCCCTTCTTTTCAACATTTTGTGACCCTCTTTGTGCACATGTTGGGCTAATCTTAATTTTTCATATATATGTTCTATTTCTAATTGTCTTCTTATCAATATAATATTGCAGGAGATTTTCAAAGCGCATATATGTGACACTACCAGATCATGCAACACGAGTTTTACTTTTGAGGCGGCTGTTAAGTCGACATTGCAGTCCCTTGTCTCAGGAGGAGCTGGCTAAACTGGCCACTGTTACGGAAGGATATTCTGGAAGTGATCTCACAGGACTGGCCAAAGATGCAGCTCTAGGACCAATAAGAGGTACGCATGTCTGAAATCAGTGCCAGTGTAACCCTGCAGATGAGATGTAGGATCAGACAAGATTTCTGGCAAGTGTTCATGTTGATTTATAATACCAAATGCCTGCAAAATGTAGGTTACAGAGGAATGAATCATAACTTCTAAATCCATCAACTCTTTGCATTGTGAATTTTTGCAGTTTGTGTCATTATGTCCCCAAACAATTTCTTGCATTTATTTGTGTATAAAAATGTCTTAGTGCTCAAATGTAAGACACTATAACCCGCCACACATCAAATATTTGACATTATGCCCAAATACTAATCTTCCAGCAGGCTTTGTTGTATTCTGTTTCAGTGCCACTGGATTTTCGATTTTTACTTTATGATGTATACAGATATTATTTCAATCATGCCTGTAGTAAAGACTACCCGTAGAAGTAGGTGAAAATAACGAAGTATAAATTTTGGAATTTTAATTATCAGTTTTAGGAGTTAATTAATTTTTGTTAAAGTTGGTCACTCACTGATTCCTTATTCTTATTATGCTATTACATCTCTGCAGAGTATTGTAACTTGAATGGCAAGAGCATTGCTAGGTAATTCACTGGTAAACACACAAGGCAACAATGGAAGAATGTCATTATGTGTTGCTAGGCAACAGCACACCAATGAAGATGCTTGCTAGGAATCACATGACTTATTCTCTGTGTAGTCTTCCTTATGCAACAGTAGAACTGGGTTTTCTGTGCATGGTCGGTGCAGAGACTATATAACAAGATTCCAGATGGAACAAGTTTCAGTGTTTAAGTGACAGTGAGTGCATTTTTAAGTGGCAGAGTGTATGGAGAGTTCAGGAGAGCTCAAGACAATTGAGAGATTAGTGTAGAGTGCTTACAAGAAGAGTGAATGGAAGACCTGATGCGTGTGATACAATTACAGTAATCTTAAATGTGTTACAACTAGTGAAGATCCAATAAACCAATTCACCAATCCAAACCCGCATCTCAGTCACCCAAACAAGTGACAACTGGTGCTGGAAGTGGTAAGGATGGGACCAGATTTATCAGATTATTGGTTTTGTGATTGCGTTGCTTACTTATGGAGATGGAACAAATTTTGGAATCCCTCCTAAAAAAGCTATGTGAGAGGACATGAAATACATGCAAGAAGAGATTAGAACCAACCAGAAAACAAGGAGATGATGGCCAAGATAGAGAACAACCAAAAAAGAATGGAGGAGAGGAATGGTTAGAGAGGAAATGAAACAAGAAATGAGGGCCGGCCAAAAACAGATAAGGGAAGAAACTGGATCTAGCCAAGAGGAAATAAGGTCCATAGTTAATGCCTGGATAGCAGACATGAAGGTTGATCACCTAGAGATGACTGCCTGCCACAAAGAGACGGAGACAGAGAAGATTCAGTCTGATCCAAGAATGATGCAGTCTGTAACGGAGCATCAAGAAGTCCCCAAGGAAGAGGCTGCAGTGATGCCAATCAGAGGACTGAGGAAGCGGCATAGGGACCAGAATATGGCTGAGGGGACCACCAGAAGCCGAAGGGAAGGATCCAGGCAAGGTGCGAATCTCAGAAGAAATTGACCATCACCAGCAGGAAGATGACTCACCATGCAAGAGTAGCGTGGCACAAAGGAAACATCAGGAAAGATCAGACCAGGAAACAGGCAGAATGAGGAACCCCAAAATGACAAAAGGATGGGGAAAGACTGTGGAAAGGCCTGGAATGCAACAATGGCATGAGTGACCAAGGCTTGAGACAGAAGCTTCAAGGCAGAAATGAAGTGAAGGAGGACATAGGTGGCAGATGGATGCTATATCTGAGGTAAAAGAGGACAACCATGGATGGCATCCAGTGGTGGAGTCCAGGAGAGTGAACACCTCTGGGCAGCAGAGGTGCTCGCTCTCAAGCAAATGTTATATGAGATTTCCAGTTTATAAACCATGAAACAAATGCTTGAGGCTTCTATCAGGTTATGAAGAATGATGAACTGAACATTGTGGAAAGGTTGGCCTCCTCCAAAGCGGAAAAAGAGGCTGCATATGGAGTAGGAGCTAGTAATGTAGAAGCACCAGCCTTCACCGCTAAGAAGGGGGAGACTGGCTTTGGATGATGGTGATACATCTGAATATTTTTAATACCTAGCACAAATAAAGTAAACAGCACAGTACAGCTTATAGCCATAGATGAATGACAGATTGCTTATTGATGTTGATTTCAAAAATATTACCTAGCAGTGCTGTCACAATTCGTAATTGTTTAAGAGTTTGTATGTTTACCCTCATTAAAATAATATTTGTTATTGGCAGAACTAAATCCCGAACAAGTTCGATGCCTCGACCCCAGCAGTGTCCGCAACATTAAGTTCCAAGATTTTCAAGACTCACTCAAGAGAATCCGACGCAGTGTGTCACCATATTCTTTAGCTGTGTATGAAAAATGGAACATGGAATTTGGGGATGTCAGTTTGTAGAAGCCAGCTGCAGTGAAGTTGTGCATCATTGGCGAGCATTTGCATGTCAGTATTGCACAAAGATCATAATATTGGAGGGCCAGTGTTTTGCGCAGTGTTTGTTATGATAAATAATCCAACAATTCAAAGCTCTTCTGTGATTGTTGGTTGGTGGAAGTGGCTGTGACACCGTTGAAACATACAGTATCCTGGAATCCATAGCTTTGAATGGCAAGACCTGGTACTAGCAACTCATAGAACTCCAGTGTAGGAAACTAGAAACCATGATTTCTCAGTATTTTTAGATTTCATGTAGTTTCACATGCAGTACATTCAGATAGGTGTCAGACTGGTAGTGTTTAGTCCTGAGTTTTTCTTTTAAACAGATGTAAGTTGTTTGTTTTGTTGTTTTCATGGTTATTGTATTGCAGTTGAATTTATAGAACTTGGCACATAGTTAGGTTGTACTCAGTGCAGCTGGTTCTGCCACCGTACGAGCAATGAGTCGATGAGTGAATAGCTCAAAGAAGCGTACATAGCTCAGTCTTAGACTGTAGTGATAGGCAAGGCAAGACACATGTTTAACTTGTTTTATTGTTTTGCAACATACACCAGGTGTACATGTCGAACACCAACTTTAAGGCCTCACAACGTGAAGAAAAGAAATGTTTTTCTGTTACTGTTCAGTGGAACTGAAATGGTGAACTCCTCTTGTTTCTCTCGGTTCCATTGCCTTACAAACTTGTTTTGCTACTTTTATATGGAAACCACTTGTGTGTGCTTTATGTAATAAGTTGTCCCCTTCTGTTGTTACATGTTACATACTGAAGATTTTCATGCTATATGTGGCTGCTGCTTGGATAGCTGCTGTATGAGAAGGAGAAGAATGCTTGTAAGAACAAGGGCCTCACAGGTGAACAAGTTATTTAATGGGTCCTTGCTCTAGCGAGTGTAAGCTCTTTCCATTTACATAATGCCCATCCTCAGTCCACAAATTGTAAGGGGTATGAACAAAAATGATAAATATTTACATTGTCATGTCAATTATCTCTAATAAGAAATGTGTATATATATATGAATCCTGTAATTTTGTAAGATTGCACAATCTGATTATGTTAAAGTAATGGCATTTTATTTTTAACTACTATATATGAAATGCATTTTCACTATGTTGGATTTAAGGTTCTTATGGTGATGACTGTGAAATATGCAGTCTTCTGGGGTGTAATGCCATATAGATAAGGGAGAGCCCAACATTTTGGAGGAACGTATTGCCTCCATCTGCAGCTTCAAAGAGTAAGCTGAGCAAGAAGCCACTACAGGCAGGAGGCAAGCTGGGTTACTTCTGCTGCTCTCAATCTTGACTGACTATTAAACGCTGAAGATCAAGGCAGTGTGTTCATCTGAAATGTTGGGCTGTCTGTGAACTACATGGTGTTATAACCCAGACAACTGTACTCTTTGCATCTCAAATTTTTGTCTGTGAAGTTACTGTAATGTTGCTTGTCAAGATCCTTCTAGAACATTGTTGATAGTGAGACAAATTGCCCACATTTTTTGCTTTTGATCCTACTCTCACCCCACCTTTTCTCTTTAAATAATCATATTTTGCAGTGTAGATTATAATAGTAATTCAGAATGTCAGAAAATAATTATTTGTTCATAAAACTTGTTGATAGCATTGGTTTTCCTAACATATGGCTTATACAGTAATATCAGTTCTCTTGCTGTTGACATTTCAGTCTCATTTGTTCTGAATGCAGTTACTTATACCTATAATCAAGCAGCAGCATACCATGTGGTGGTTATATTGAAAACATTTCCTGAATCTCTCAGTATTAGTGCCCTAGAGATACCACTGCTTCTAAAAAGAATTTAAATCTTCTGAATGTTGTTCTTCAGAAGAAAGAAGAAAGAAAGAAAAAGAGATTCTTGTGCTTTTTTCATGAGAAGTTTTAAGTAAAGTGCAGACAGAACATTCAGACTACAGCAGTTCATACTTCAGCCTTTGTGTTAGTAAATACTCCTCTTTCTCTCCCTAGTCCACATTTTCCTTTAAATATCTCAGCATGTCTTTTCTGCACTATTATCTTAGGTCATCTTCATTCACTTCTTCCAGACCTTTAAATAGTATATTTTTAATTGAGAGTTGCAACTGACATAACTGCTATTGTAGAGCTTCTATTTTCTTTGGCATCTTTAGTGTTTTCAAAAAAAAAAGGTCTTAGAATTTGAACAGCATTTGTTACATTTCTGCTTTTTGTAATGTGAAGAATATATATATATATACAGTAATATGTTGTGATGTGTTTCACTGCATTCCACACCCTGTATCCCATTGACCAGTATCCTGAACCATACTTTCAGGGAAGAAATGATGCTCGTTGAAAGGTAAAACCTATTTTTTTGCATGTCCTTCCCACCTTACCTTACTTAACTTATGAATTTGTGGAACTAAATCCATGCTGTAACATCCTGCATACTAAAACATGACTCTGTGCTCCATGAATTTATCTGTTATAGTACTTGAGCAGTCACCATATGGAAGGCACACAGAGATGCTGTCAAGAAGGCAGTATGAGTGCATCTTTCATTCACTCAATGGTTGTCTCCTCGTTGAAAATGCTCTCTGCATAGTGTACTCATTGTGTGGTAAGCAAGCATTTGTCCCCCTTGTTGTTCAAGAACTGTACTTACCTTTGTAGAAACTAAAGCTTACGAGTAAATTGGCTTAAGTGAAAAGTTGTTTTTGTACAAAGTGTGTAGAGCCACAGACTGAGCACAAAACAACAATAAATACCAGTTGGTCAACAATATATTTTACATTTGATATTTTTGAGTGCTCTAACTATCAAACAAGTAAATTGGTATATAGAATTCACCATTTTTACTAATTATAATGTGGCAACAGTACTACATGCCTGATAGATATTGCCCTCTTAACGTTCCTTTAATGTATTTTTGACTTCTCACATGAGTTTAAAAAAGAAGATGAAGTTGTCCCTATGTTTAATTAATTAAGCACTATGCCATGAAGGCATAGGGGTAAGTGGAGATATAGCTCCACCATTCTTGGCCTTGGCATTAGATGAAGGTTAATGGTCAGTGTCATGCCCTGTTTATGCCTGGGGAAAGAGCCCGTTGTGCCTTTTAGATATGAGGCTTGGTGGGCCCCAGTGTCAGTCTGGACGCTGTGGAAAAGAAAAATCATGCCTCAGCAGGGATTGGAACCCAGGCTGTCCGGCCATTAGTCCGTTGCTATCCTGACTGCTTTGTCATCTGAGGTAGGTGTTGTTATTGTTAGTGCAGCTGCACCATCGCAAGATAATGTTGATGGAATAGAAGTGGTTTGTGATGTACCAGAGATACCACTCACCCTTGTCATGTAAGTAATCTGATATTACATATTTGATGGTTTAATTTTATTTTTACACTGTAACCACCCACAAACAGTGTTGTCAGATTGACTGAACTCGATGGAATTAGCCATATTATATTCAAAATAATGTCATTCCCTGCAAAAGTGACTGATTTGCTCTCAGAATACATAGAAACCACTGAAGGTGAAAAGGGCATGTGTGAAGAAGTGGTCAGAAAATAAATGGAACATGGGGGAGTTAAATAATGCTTTCTGTCCTTCAGAAGTGGGATGTCGATGTATGAGGAGACAACCACTTGTTGAACTGTTCTGTAAATACAGTATTTATTATAGTTGCACAGTATACACAGACAAACTTGAAGAATTGAAGGTTATTGGCTGAAGACTAATGATATAACAGCAGTAGTGAACATTGTACTGAAACACACCTCTGAACTGGAACTAAAAACTCCAAGTCCAAGACCAAATCACATTGCGACTGACGGTCAGTCAGTCAGTAAGTCTTGGTGTTGAGCCCTGGCTGGAGCTCATGACCAAATATTTATTAGTGTTTGACATTTATGGTCTTGTTTCTGTGGGGCACCCTCTCTGATGAGAAGACGGGTCTGCCTTTTGTATATGCTGCTGGCCCTTGCCAGTGCAGTCTTTCTTGGGTCTGAGTCCCTTGGGACTCAAGACCATATTTTACTGTCTCAGATTTGAGACTTCCCTTTTCGTCACCTCATATGACTCGCAGGGTCACGATGGAGGTATTCGACCCCACCTCCCACTCAGCGTATCTCCTTATTTAACCTTGAGTCAGACCTATAGAAAACACGTCACTGTCCATATTGTTGTAGACTTTACCTAGCAATGAGTGTTAACTCGCCATTGCTAAGCAATGGTACCTGAGCTGTCACTGTAATGTTTGCTTGAATGTGGGCAGTTCCCACATCATCACCCCCCCCCCCCCACAGAGATGGTTGCTCAGCTGTTAAAGCAAGCAGGGAAATGTACATGGCGTCCGGAGCGTATAGTTTGTACTATGGGCGGTGGTGGCATGGCATGTCGTGCCGCAGCCAGGGTTGCATCAGCTGCAGGTTTGAAGGTCTTGGTGGTGGTCCCACGGCTGGTCTCTTTCAGCATGTAGGCTGGCTTGACCCTTTCAGTTGACACAGTGACAGGCCCATGATGCACGGGGATTTGCATTATTCTCTCTCCATGACAGGACCTGGTAGGGGGCTCCGACGCTCTGCAAGTTGTTTCCCGCTGGAGGAAGACATGCGTGCACTTCTCAAGGTTGCTGTGCACAAATGTAACCTACCCCAGCGCCAATTTGTCCACCACAAATCCCACTTGACCGAACCTGGGCCGCCGGCGTGGGAAGCCAGTGGCTAAGTGGTTGAGCTATGGTGCGGCCCAAATCTTATCTAAGTGGGATATAATTAAATGTGGAGTTCCACAGGGCTCAATTCTTGGTCCCCTGTTTTTTTTTTTTATTTTATATAAATGATTTACCTAAAATAATAAATAAGGATAATAACATGGTTCTATATGCTGATGACACCAGTATCATAATTACTGATACTAATAATGTAAACTTTGAAACAAATCTTAACCAAACCTTTAAAGACATGAACACTTGGTTTAATGTTAATTTAACTATCTTAAATTTCAATAAAACTCAATATTTATAGTTTTGGTCCATGAATTGTTGTAACACAACGACACAAATTAATTATGATCAGGAAAGTATCTCCAGTGTAACAGAAGCTAAGTTCCTTGGTTTGATTANTCGATGTATGAGGAGACAACCACTTGTTGAACTGTTCTGTAAATACAGTATTTATTATAGTTGCACAGTATACACAGACAAACTTGAAGAATNGATTATCCTCTGCGTGCTATGCATTGTGAAATATAAAACATATTGTATCATTTGCAAAATTAAGGCCAGTCTACTTTGCTTACATACACTCCATTANTTGAAGGTTATTGGCTGAAGACTAATGATATAACAGCAGTAGTGAACATTGTACTGAAACACACCTCTGAACTGGAACTAAAAACNATGGTATAATCTTCTGGGGTGGCTCCTCTCATGCCAGGAAAGTGTTCATCTTGCAAAAGAAAATTATTTGAATCGTAATGAACACTAAACCTAGAGATTCTTGCAGGAATATTTTCAAGAAATTGGAAATTATGATGTTATATTCACAGTATATATACTCATTACTTTTATACATAATTAATAATAAACATTTATTTAACTTTAATAACGAGATTCATGAATATATAACTACATCCAAAGGTATTGTGAATACTTCAAAATTTGATAAGGACCCTATATAACAGGTATTAAAGTGTTCAGTCATCTTCCACGATCAATAAAGATTTTGGTCAATGATGAGAAAAGCTTTAAATTTACATTGAAGAGGTTTTTATATCATCATTCTTTTTACTCTAAATGAATACTTTCACTATAAAGAAGACAAAGGATTGTAATACAAATATTTTCTTGAATTGTTTGTTAGGTTGATTTTCCACATGATGTATTACCCACTGTCTAGTCGCTGGGCATTTAAGGGTATAAATTTTATGGAAGTACGGTATTGTAATAGACCATCTGTTTTAAATAACATGTGACAGTAAACAATTAAGATGGTCATGAGTGGTTTACTTACAGCTCATTTCCTTTTATCCTGTAGAGGAATATGTTAATTAATAGTTTTCAAATTTTAAGGTTCTTGCTAGGAAATGACTGACTGTAATCGTATATACTGAATTTTTATTATATATTCTAATTCTTAAATCCTGATGAAATGTATTATATTTGGACTGTTAAATTAAGTATTTGTAGATATGCAATGGAGATAATTACATCAAACTTCTATATTATGAATAGGTCTTTTGTATTAATTTATGATTGTGACAATGATAATCATATATATGCATAAATTTGATCATATTTGAATATTTTATATACAAATGTTGTATTGTGACTGTATTGCATGTTGATGGGTCCATTGTTTTTATGTATTTTTACATGTTCTATATATCCTATAGCATGCGTGACCTGAAAGGATCTATGGAATTTAAAATAAAGTGAATGTGAAAGTGAAAGGGCCATGCCAGAAGCCTCACTGTGCATGGCTAGTCTCAAATCCTAGTATATTACTAACTTTAACAAAAAGAAGAGGATTTTGCAGTTACAGATTTCACATAACATCTGTCATGCTATCAGTTAAAAATGTGAGGTACCTGCAACTGAAGCACTAAATTTCGGTTGGATTTTAGGTTCTTACAGCAGTGACTAGAAGAGTTCCAACTTCTGGAATATAATGTTATGTTGTCTGGTGAAAGTCAACTAACATTTTGGAGGAACACATCACCTCTATTTTCAGGATCAGAAGATAAGTAAAGCAGGAAACCAGCATGAAGCAGGCAATGTGCAGAGCAATAGAGGAACATGTTGCCTCAATTTTCAAGGTCAAAGAGTAAGCAAAATAAGAAAACAGCATGAGCAGGCTGCATGAGGGCCATTGGAGTAACATACCACCTCCATCTTCAGGGTTGAAGAGAAAGCAGATACAGGGCATCAGAGGTATTATATCCCAAAAAAATAGAACTCTTCAAGTAAATTTCAATTTTACTTTATCATCTATATATAACCTAAAGAAAATTCTATAGTAATGAATAATATTTCTTTTGAGATTTGTGATGGAAAATAATGTATGTAATATACGAGGCACTTTCCAGAAAAATATGAAATAGGCTACTGAAGCATCTTTTCATAAAACATAAATAAATACAAACTTCTAGAATAAATTAAGGGATACTACAAAGAAAGCAGTCTTCTGGGATGTGGCACCATGTAGATATTGTTGACATTTCAGAGGAACGTATCACCTCCATCTTCAGGGTAGAAGAAAAAAGA